GCCCACAGTGTGGAAACATGAAGTACATTTATAAATGAGGTCTGGCCATGCCCAAGACAAACATTCAGTCATGAAGGAAAGAGGAAAAGGGAGAGTCATTATATGGAAATGAGAAAAGGGCATAAAGTGGGAGTTGTTGCTACTCTCTAAGATGTAACTAGGTAACTAAAAAAGTAGTTTTTAGAAATCACTGTTGCTAACACAAGTCAGTGTGATGCTCCAGTGTTAGTGTGCTGCAGTCACTGGATCACAGGATGTTTGAGGTTGACAGGCACCTCTGGAGGCCTTCTGGTCCACCCCACTTGCCCAAGCAAGACCACCAAGAGCCAGATGCCCAGGAACATGAGCAGTCCTCCTGTAAACTGTGTCTTCTACCTGTGGCCTCCAGAGCTCAAACATGATTTGGGTTAGATTCTCTGCTGATTAGTCTTACCTGACCTAGTACTCAAGCAAAACAAACAGAAGCAGTAGGCAGGCCCTTTTGTCTGAGGTCTCCAGAGTTGCCAATTACTTTAAAGCAACAGTGAGAACATTTTCCTGGTGTTGACAGGGTCATTGTTATGTTTTCAGAAGGGTTATTTTTATACAGTGACTCATGTTAACGCTTGTTCTGATTTGGTGTTTTTCCATCTTCTCTAAAAATGCAGCAGGGCTAATGCAAACCCTGTATAATTTCACTCACTTTTGGATTTTACCACCAAGGGAGAGTTTGGCCATAGAGTTGAAAATAGATGGTGACCCCAGTCGCAATATTGGTTTCCTCTGGCAAGAAAGCTGACATAGGTAATTCTGCCCCTTCAACACCACAGCTGTGCTATGAATTCTTTCCTTCACGTTGCTGTTCTCCTCAGTTGTTTCAATGCAGGGTGTTGTGGGGATGGCCCAAGAGAAACTGTTCTTAACATTTGAAAGGAAAAAACGCACAAATAAAAAAATTAACAACCTGGAGTTTTTGGGGGTTGTTTGCTTGGGTTAGTTTGGTTTTTTTGGGGACACTTTTAAAATTATGCTCTCTTTCCATTTTAGATATCCAGGCTAAGTGTTGCAGTGGCTCTTGTATCAGAGTAGTAGTAAGCTCTGGCTGTAGGTGGGAGAGGAACATCTTAACCCCTTGAAAAATGCTTGATGTCACTCTTGAAATAAAAGCATGCATTCTTAGGTTTTGCAATATTGCCATGGAAGCTAATAATTGTGTTTAGTGCATCATAAGACTTGCTCCTGCATGTGTTCGTATGAAAGGGGTGGAGACTGTAGAGCTTAAAGCTTTACTGTTATAACTGTCTCCTGCACAGCAAGGGAAAGGTCTCCAGCTGAGTTGAAGTAAGCAAGCCAGGACCTGCCTGGAGAGACTGGCCTCATGCTGTGCTTTCCACCTCGCTGAAAAGGTGGAGACTTGCAGATGTTAGGCACTTCAGTCTCTCCTATTTCTCCCTCTTTACCTGAGATCTCTGCTGAGCTGCACTTTGGATGGCACATGACATGGAACTCATGGTTGGGTGACAGCTCTGGTGTGTAGCTCATACTACATTTGAGCTGTAGTTACAGCAGATAAAAGATGTAGTTTACAAAAGGACTGTTCGTGTTCCTGGGACACCACGGGCTGTTGGTGTCCTGCTACCAGGCCCTTGACTATTGTAGCTTCTGGCATCCCAGCCCTACTGGTTGATACATGGAACCAGTCAGACAGAAGGTAAGTTGGGTCACAAGGAAGAGGGGTGCAAATACATTAAGGTTTTTTTGGCAGGAGGGTTCCCAGAGGTTGGAGTTGTTGAAACTATATTTGTGACTGTTGGTCTCTCATGGAGATTGGTGCTTCTGCAAGGTATTGTCTTCCTCTTGCCTGCAGTGGGACATTGCTACTGGACAGATGGGTTGAAGAGCTTGGTGATGTCAGTGTCTGTACAGCAGCCTATCCACAGGATGTTTATGTCCAACATGTATTTGTTTATAGCTTTTTATTTTAAAAGTCCATTTCTCCTGCTTTTATTTTCAGCTGTAATTAGGAAAGCAAATCCAAAGGGGAAGGGCTGACAACATTTAAACGTTGACTTTTTATACCAGAGTCCAAGCTGAAAATTTAACACATAATTCTGTCGTGATTTTTGCCACCCCAGCAGTAACAGTTAAATAACTTCTTGTGTTTTGATCATATGAATTATGTGTGCTTTCTGGATGGTGATATATTTGGTAAGCCTGAAATTGAAGGTGGATAGCTGATAAATCAGCAGAATACTAATAGAGAATCTTTGCCAACTCTTTCTTAGCAAGCCTCAAAGCATTTCTCTTGGCATTTTTGTTGGATCATGAAAATACAATTGAACACTTCTGGTGGGGAGAAGATAAGTTTCATGCTTTTAGCATAGACTTGACCCTGTGTAGGATCTTTATCTTCCCTGACATCTGGGAGTCATTAAGGCTTAGTACAGCACAGAAGACTGAAAAGGCATTGTGGAGTTAGGCACAGCTTGAATTTTTAACTAAGAAAACTTCTCCTTGATATTTTTTGAAAAGGGACTGTTACTTTCAGTTTGAGCAAGTTCCTTTTCTCAAGGTGTGAGATCATTTGTCCTTCATTCTTGATTAATCTTTTGGCTGAATGGAAATATGTTGTCATTGTATTTTCAAAAGCCTGTTGTAAGAAAAATTGATTATAGAGAAATATGAAAAGTTAATCATATAGAATGAGTAATGTTAGAACCTGTCATCACATTGCTTTATTTTAGAATGGTAGTATCAGCAGGTCCTGTAAACCTGGTGAAGTGCTACTGATCAAGGAAGTGCTTTTGTATAAGTAAATGCAGAAGATGGGGAAAGAAGGGTTAAATTTCTATTAATAGCCCCCTGTTTGAATCACTTACCCTGGTTATGTACCTTGTGAAATGAAGCTTGTCATGGTACCATGTCTTGGAGTTTCACTTGTCTGCTGTTCAGCTGGCATTGAATCAATATACAGTCAGTTTGCATTTACAGGGTTATTTGTACAAAAGTAAACTCCATACCACTTTTCTAGCACTCAACTCATTCATCAGAGGTCAAGGAGAAAATGAAGTTTTATGCCTTTGCCACCACTGACTTGGAGCAATTAGGCTGATGGCCATGAATATGAAAGCTCCTATTTATTGTTCTGTGAGTGCCCAAACAGTTGTTCTTGCCAGAGTCTGGATTATCCTGTTGGTGGTTAAACACATCTGCACATTCTTGTGAAGTATGTTGGAAAAGGAGAACTAATGAAAGAAACGTTTTGAATATTTTATTACATGCCACTAGCTTTTTCTCCTCAAGTGCTGGCTAAAGTTCAGCTTGTGGTTAATAAGTACAACTGGACACTCACCTGAATACTTAGAGTGCTTGGATTTATTTTTATTTTGACTGCACTTTTTTGACTTGTCCTTTCCAAAACTAAACCTTAAAACAAACAAAAAAAATAGGGAACAGGGACTGTAGTGAGTTCTGAGCTCAACACTATGTTAACCCAAAGAGACAGTTCAAAGCTCAACCCCAAAAGATGCCAAGCCTATTACGCTCATGTCAGAATTGAAAAGGAACATAAGTATAAGCTGCTACTCTACTTCTTTGTTGGTGCTCTGATAATTTAGGCTGAATATTTACATGGTGCATTTCAGTTGCTGGGGCATATTTGTCAGAAGCAATTGATTTTTCTGTTAATGACAGCAATGCAGTTGATTGCACTGGACAGTCCAGATCAAACTAAATCATGGCATGTGCCTATCTCTGTTGTTTATACATGCCTGTAAGAATACACGAGCCTATCCAAACATCTGTAATTAGAGGAGAAGATAAAATAGTTTCTTACCTTGCACATTGTATAGACCAATTTAATTTTGTAGAATGCAGGGTATTTACTGTCCCAATCCCACCGAAGATAGTGTTATATGAAAATTGCTCATGGTGTATGAAAGAGAATTATATTGTTCAAATGCTTTCACAATTAGCTGAAAAGTGGTCTATTTTAACCAAAAAAATTAAGCACCAGTGCAATCCGTAAGTTTTTTCCTCATTGCATGCCCCAGTCACAATTTTAACAGTGCTTGAACTGGTGACTTATACATTATGAAAACCACTATAAAGGTGGAAAGAAATGCTTTTTCCTAGCCATGAATTTTTGTACTTTTTTTAAAAATGTGGTACAATGATCAACTTCAGCCAATTTCCCATCCTTCTGTGCATCATAATTGTATTTTCCTGCTGTTTCTCTGTGTTGGTGCAAGTAATTGTGGGTGGCAAGGCCTCACCAGGCTCAATAGCTGTCTGACATGCAGGGGTGGATCCAAACCCCATCAGCAAATGGCTGCTCTCTCTGTATGGCTGCACTTTGTTGATGCAAAGCAGGGAACAGTAACACACGACCATGTACCACGAAGGCAGTGGGAATGCCCTTTGCAGTCTGGTTTTAGATTAACGAATGTCAATTTTCCCCTCAGTTGCAAATTGTCACTATTCCCTTCTTTGAGCAGACTCTCTCCACGATGGAGTGGGTGGTATGGCAGTGGGTGGTGTTGTAGTGGGAGTTGTAGGGTGCTTGTTGGAAGAGCAAATGGTACCCTTTCATTTTGGGTGACTGTGGTGTTAGTGTGCTGGCCATGTTCTGCATCAAGTGCCTCGGAGGACATACTGGGTGACTAAATGATCCTATATTTTCCCTCTAGGGTTTTGCCCCTATCTCATGTCATCATTAGCACCTTTACCTCTTGGTGGGTAAGTGGCTTCATGCTCAGTCACTGCCACTGACCAGGTCAGCTGCCATCAAAAAATACCTTGAGACTGGAGCTAATGTTTCTTTCCTTTTCAAATGACAAAATATATGTATGATATTGTGGTGTTTCTGGTTCTGAATAAAAAGAAATTGGGATGTTGATATTTGGAACTTGTTAAACAACTGTCATGCAAGAGCACCAAACTGACAGCAGCTCTTAAATAGTATGACAATAGAAGCAAATGTTATTCAATAAATTTTTGCCTTTTTTTTCCCCTTTCTACAGGAATATTTTTACCCGAAATACTTGGGTGAGTTGCAGCTTTTACTTTTACTTTGTGGCAGTGCTGGTATGTGATGCCTAACACTGGAGCTTGTTACAGCTGAAGCCTCTGCTAAGAAACGTGATGGAAATCTGATTGCAATAAACATGCATTGCTAACTGTAGAGTATATGTTCCTTGTAGTACTTTGAGGTGTGTTTTTTTATTTACGTGTACATTCACATACATAGGTGTTCTCTATGTTTTCTGCATGTTAAAATCTTGATGTTGCATATTTATCTGTGGCTTGCAGTGTTGTTAAGTAATTTGTAGTTTTCTACCTTTTTCCCATTTTAATTAACTTAGTTATTAACTAATCTCTGTATTTAAAAAAAAGGTACCTTTACTTATTGAACTACTGACTTATTTTATTTGCTATATCATAGTCATGGTGTGAAAAAAAATCTTTGTGCTTTTTAGGTATTTTAAGAAATTTAGTTGGTCAAATTTGAGTAGCTACTATCACAGCTTTAGAATCGTAGTAGCATCTGGTTAAGTGATCATCCTCTTCAAATGGTTTATAACTTCTGTACATCAAAGCTAAAAAAGAAATAAATGAACTTAAGAACTTTAAGGCATCTGGGAGATTATAATATTGCATAGATTTTGCATCCACCTTCCAAATCCTTGCAGTCCGAGTATCATTTTACATGCTTTGAAGCGCTGTCCTGTCATTATAAAAATAACGATTTTATTTTCTGTTCTTCAGCTTGTATTCAGAAATATGGGTCGCCGTATACAAGAAGTCCAGATTTCCTTACATGCGTTCATAGTAAGCATTTTTGGTTTGTATATTGTAGTTAAATGTTCTCTCATTCTGTCTGAAGGTGTGGTACTAGCTCAACCATCTCCATTTCTGATAGTATTTTAGTACTGGTCTTCCTATTCTCTAGGCTCGAGACTCCATACCACCAACAAAATCTTTTCCATTTATAACCTAATGCCATCTTGCTGTCATGTTTTAGTACTTTGGTATTTTATGATGCAAGTTTCTTTCCCGCCAGTTTTCCAAAGTCTGAATAAACTGAGAAGCAAGAGGGACAAGAAGTAGGATGTACGTAAGGCTGTACACTATGCTTGGCCTTTCATTTTCTATTCCCTTGAATGCTAACTTTGGCTCACTCTATTAAGGAACATTAAGAAAAGCTTAAAGTCGAACTCAGGCTCATGACAGCCTTCTTTACATTAAGGAGATGAGTTTCACATGTCGTGTGACTGTGCTTTAAATATTGCAAACTTTAAAAACTCAAATTAATTTGGAAGTCAAACTGATAACTTTGTAGCAGGTGAAGGGAATTCTTCTAATACATTTCTAGTTGCCTCTTGAAGCTTAGCAGTGCTAAAGGTATAAAACTGCATAAGTGTTCTAAATACGTCCTGGGAGCAGAACAAATGGGGAGAAAAATCACATATATGTATATTTATTTTCTTTTTACCCCTGTGTTTCAGTCTTTTATTGTGATCAAGTTTGATTAGTCATGCGTTGGTACCAGTGCTACCAAAGCAGGATCAGGATTTAGTTGACCTTTCACATTTATGAACTGCATTACAGCAACCTTTTTTAAGAGTGAATTCCAAGGTTGGTAAGTGGTATGTGAAGAATTGCCCTCATATCACTTACAGATGTTAGCACTATCACTTATGGTTGTTAAGAGTGCTCTGAACTGGGAATTCTTGGACTTGTGGTACCTGTGTCAGCTGCAGCGTGCCAGCTAGTTCAAAGTGGGGTATGAGGCTGAATGCTTACTTTTACTTGTGTGTGTGGCATGGCAGAGGCAGGAGTTTTTGATGAAAATGGTTGTATCAACTGGGAGTACTTGTTCCAAACAGCTAAACGGTGGTTTAGAAATGCAAGTCTAAAGGTTGGCGATGAAAAAATCTGAAAAAATAAAAACTGAATAATTGTTTTTAGGGCTCACTGCCATTTCATATGCAGTGGTTTGGAAAGAAAATGATAATATTTTCCCCCATTAAAACATTAAAAGATTTTAAAATGGCTGAGTTTTGGCTAGCCATTGTCGATTCACAGGAGAAGTAACAGAAAGGAACCTGAAACGCACTTGGAAGAATGACAGGCTTTGTGCTTAGCCAGTTCCAGTGTGCCTCTTAATTTTTCACAGATGTTGCTAAAAGACTGTGGCTCTGTGGTTTTGTGCCTGCAAGATGCTTTTAAATTTTGTTTCTTAACAGCCTTCTCCCCTCAAAACAAGGCTCTTTTAGTGGAAGGCTCTTTTAACCTGGTGTACAAAGACATTGCACAGCCTAAGGGCTGGAGAGTGATTAACTACACTAGTTTATACTAGGAATAAGGTAGAAATTTTAACTGTGACAGTGATTAGACAGCTTAGCAGGATATGTTAGGATTCCTAGTTTCGTAAGCTCTTTAGATCAGGTTTACAGATAGGATTCAGCTCTAGATTCAGAGTTAGATGCAGGTGTTTCTAGCAGTGTTCTACATGAGCAATATTCCCATCACAGTCAGTGGAACGTTAATCTCCTCTGGTTCTAGAGGGATTCTATCAACCAAATCGTGCCAGCTCTGGGGAGACCTGAATCCATGTATGGACCGTTTATTTACTATCTCTAGCGACTGCAGTGAGTGTTTACAATTGCTTTGCAGATAGATGTTTACTTTACACACAGACACCTGTACTTTGGTCTGCAGATCTGGATATTTTTCTAAAAAAGATCCTGCATGTCAGCTAGGAATTAAGGATTTGGTTCTGCAAGACTTTGGAAAATTGTGCAGGATTTTTTGGAAATGAGGCTTCATGTGGCCTTAAAAAACAAAATGAGATTTTTTTTATGTCACGTGCCTGCTTTTCAGTAGTGACTGTCATAATCTTCACAACCTAACATTTCCCTTAGGAAGTTTTACTATGCACCATTTTGTGAATATCAAAAAATAAATTCACAGCATGTAGTAATGAACTGGAAGTGGAAGTCAGCAGACATAAGTAAAGTCTTGTTTCCATACAAGACTTCAAAAATGGAACTGGTGGTTCTATTCTCTGTGTCCACTTATGAGCTACCTATGTGCTATCAGACATAGCTCAAAGCACATGAAAATGTCATGCTCATCATTACTTTGAACAGCTTTACTAAATCCATTGTGTAAATGAATGGAAACAAAAGCACCATTTTCTTTTGTGATTGCTTAAATCAGGAGCACCTTTTTTGAAATTGGTAGAATTATACTGCTGTGAAGCCATCAGAGGAGCGTAAGACTGTGTCTTGTGTTCTCAGCCTCTCATGATAAGAGGCTGCAAACTATCAGCACTGTGTTGATGTGATAAAAACATCCTTGGTTGTTCCTGGCATTTACCATGGGTTGCAATAGCTTACTATTCTGCTGAGCAGTGTTATAACCATCTGGCTCTGCAAGACGTATAAAAATCCAGTTTGAGGGAAAGAATCAGAAACCTGTGGGTACAATAGATAAGTCATGCATAACCCTATTGATTTGTTTTGCTTATCAAGAGATTTTGAAAACACTGCCGTATCTGGGAGGCTTGGTTTGTACAGCTTTAAAAAAAAAAAAAAAGACTTGGCTTACTGTACCTAAACCATTCTGTTTACTGTGCACACATTCTGGTCTGTCTAGGAAAAGAAATATCCTGGTCAGACCTGCTCTGTCATAGCTCATTGCTGCCTAAACGTGACCTTTCCTTCCCCGGCTCCTCCACCTCCAGTAGAGTGTCAGCTGGGCAGTGATTCATCAGAAGATGTTCTGGCAGGTGGATGTTGAGAATTGTAGCTGTGTTTTCTTTTGTATGGCCTGGCCTCTACTTTGGCTGTGGCTTTGCTCTGACTCTGCACATCTGGAGTGGAGAGGAATAAAGAAAATTAGGCCTTGTTTATAGTGAGAGGATAGTTGTTTTGGTGAGGCTTTTGGGATTGTGTATTCATGCTTTTCCAGTATAGTTTTCCCAGGCACTAGCTTCTGAGCATGAAGGTGAAGTACTGAAAATGGGCATTTCTTCGACCATGTCACACTCCTTTCCCTATCAGTCTTCTGGCTCTCTCCTCCCTTGCCCACAAGGGACACCTTACTGAGGCTCAGGATAAATGCCTGTCTTCTGAATGGCATGACCCTAGCTAGAGGTTGAAGCTGTGCAGGTTACAGAGGAGAACCTGAAATGAGAGTGGATGGAACCACTGTGTTTTAGCTGCATTTTGATAGAGGTAGATGAAATCATAACTGGAAATGCAAATTCCTTCAGTTATGGAGATTTGTGATCATTTATGGCCTTCTATAGACCTCCTTTCTTTGATTATTTTGTTCTGCTTGATTCAGCCTACTATGTTTAATGACAGATATTGCCAATCTTCTCCTGGTTTCTGGCATTGTCAGTCCTCTACAGAAGAACAGTGGATCCTTTATAAATATATGCGTAGTGGACAGGTAATGTTTGTTGTAGTTTTTGAACTTGCTCTAGACGGTTCTTATGTCCAAAGATCAATTAAATACCTACAGAGAAAGGAGCAGTGAAAACTTTTATAGTATTGTATCAGCTCTGGTAAGATTCTCATTTGAACTATCAAAAGTACTTGAAAAGAGTACCCATGAGATAGATGGAAAGAAATCAGAAATTAGTACTCTATGGTAATCTGAATAAACTGCAGCACTGTGGGCATCTAACTTCAGTCAGCGTGCAGTGCAGCCCAAGAAGCTGGCCGTTTTTTTCTTGATAACTATGAAACAAATGCTGTCCAACATTTGAGCATATACCCATGCCATATTTTTATACCTAAATAGCATAACTCTTAGTGGCTGTCTAAAAAGGCAAACCAAAAGTGCAAAAGACTGTTGAGCAAACTGAAACACAGATGGTTTTGCCTGAACATCAGGAAATACTTTTTCACTGTGAGAGTGACCCAGAACTGACACAAGTTGCCCAGGGAGGTTGTGGAGTCTCCATCCTTGGAGATAATCAAAAGCCTTCTGGACGTGATCCTGGGAAACTGGCTGTAGGTGGCCCTCCTTGAGCAGGGCCCTCTGGAGGTTGGACAAGTGACCTCCAGAGATGCCTGCCAACCTTAACCATCCTGCAAGATTACTAAGATTCAAATCTGAGGCAGTCAGTGCAAACAAAAATGCTGTTCATGTGACATCAAAGGGAGCTGCTTCTGCCTGCCCTCACAGAAATGTCAAAAGTTCTTTCAAAGCAGCCTGTCATGAAGATGACTTACAGGGTCACACAGTGGAAGTTAAGAAGAGACATGTAGAAGCAGTATAATCCTGACAAAAGTAGGAGTTAATTTAGTCTTTAATTCTCTCAATTTGAGAAGTCTGATGGGGCTGCTAATCTATGACTAGTTTCTCTCCTAAAAGCCCCCCTGCCACCCTATATGCCCATCAGTTCACAGGTCATGTTTCAGAATATCATCAAGAGTCTGAACTGGATGTTGGTCTCAGCAGAACCAGTGTATGGAAACGGGTTGCCGCTGCTGCTGCTCGCTTGTTGTGTACCCACTGGGCAATTCCTACTGCTGGGAGGAGATGTGTAAAAAGAAAGGCCCTTGAACTAGGTGACCTTTGCAATCTACAGAATGAGCTTCTGCACTGTTCATTCTGGTTAAAGTTGTGGAAACAGTTAACACATATATGTTTTTGAAGATCACTGATCTAGAACACTACTGTTAAGAGGTTACTACTAAATGATAGCGACCAACTCTTTTTTTTTGTGGGAACAAGGGTATTCTTTCATCCTTCCTTTAGTTACCTCTGTGAAGCGCTGTCCCTGTGTGTTTTGCAGATAGGTGGGCAGGTGAATTTAGACGGGTGATTTCCATTCGTTGAGTAGTTAGATAATAGTTTGAGATTTTTTCCTCCAATCCTCCCCAAAGAGTGGTGACTACTCTTTTGCTGCTTTCTAATGAGAAAACTCATTGCCAGGTATTGAAACCTGGCTTAAAAATCCCCATAGGATCATTGTGCTCTCTGTAAACTGGATTAGTGGTTTTCTATTCCTTTGCTGTTAACTCACAGGTATTCCTTTTTTATTCTCATTCTGCATAATAGAAAGGCTCTGACAAAAAATTCAGATATAAACATTTGCTAGCTGCAAATCTATCGGCTCTGGTAAGATCCTCAGTTGAACTACCAAAAGTACTTGAAAAGAGTACCTATCCCTTCTTGAGTTATTTGTTGATACTGCTTTTTGTTTTCTCCAAAACTAGGGAGAGTAGAATTAACTTTCTTAAAAATGAGCTACTTTGAGTTGTTTCTTTCAGGATGTGCCCTTCAGATAAGGGCAGTGGTAGCTCACTCCGTTTTGCAGTGAAATGAATTCCACTGCATGTGCTCTGCAAAATTTCTGGCACACCTTGTTTGGCATGTGAGCATTAAGAATTAGCTTTCAGTTTTGCCAGCTGTGAGTATTTCTGAGTGATTCCCCATTACTATTTAAGCTTCCCAACTTCTAATGAGAGTGAAACTCCTGCTTGTCAGTGATTTCAATGTATTGTTCTGTTCTGGCTTTTTTATTCCTTATGTAAATCAGATTTGCCAAACCAGTGTTCTCCTGATCCTTGTCACAAAGAGGGGACTGTCAAATGTGAGGATCTCAAGGGGGACTTCTATTGTGAATGCAAGCGTGGCTGGCAGGGAAAAACATGTGAAAAAGGTAATCAGGTTTCATTATCTTTTATACTTGTAACAAAGATGTTTTGGGTTTTGCTGTATTCTCAAATGGTCATTGATACTGTGCTGCACAATTCAAGTCACAGAACTGAACCTGGATTACACACCGCTCGTGTTTTTACCCTTCTTTGACTCAGGTAATTTTTTCACATCAACATTTTTATATGACTTTAATGGAGCTTAGCTTGGTCTTGGCAAGGTAATCTAAGAAGTTAGGCTCTGACTTTCTGTCCCACCCCTCTGAAAGGGGCAGCAGAAATAGAGTTGTAGTGGCTTTTCAAGCAGAACTGCAGCAAATGCTGCTGTGAACCCTGGTGTAACAGATCACAGACTGCAGAGCCAGAGAAGCTGGCCCACCTGCCCTCTAGCATCCCTGCTGTGGGAACAATGACTTTCAGTCAGCAAGTTGGAGTCTGAGTCTGATGATACACAAACTGATGAAATTAGTCTGTTAAAGCCTCCATGCTAGTAGGACCTTATTCCACGTCCACTTAATCCCACATATCCCAGGGTATATTTCCATCACCTCCAAAGAAAATATTCAGACAGAATCTGTTTGTGCAAGGAGTGCCAGGTACCCACAGGGCTTTCTCTACAAATTATCTTCCCTCCTATTTTCTGGTTTCTTTTTTTTCCCCTTCTGCCTGCAAGGCTTCCTGTCAGGTAAGGAATGGCCAGAAGTCACATTCAGCCAGTCCAGAATTGTGGCAGCCAAGATAGCAAGAGATCCAAAACCTTTCCTTCTCATGTAAATATTGTGGTGAGATTGTAGGGTCACTCACAAGGAGCACATTTAAGCAATTCAGAAAACAGACCAGTCAGTATCCAGTCAGCTTTGAGAGCTCAGACAATAACCAGTCTGAAGCATATTCCCTTATTTTCCTATAAAATTCCATGACATGTGATGTTCTACTCATCAGCTGACTCTAGAGTCCCATAGATAAGCAGGACATAATGAGCAGGTAGGGCAGATCAAGGGTGAAATCAAGGCTCTAGGATTTTACTGGCTTTTTCTACCAACTTCAGTGAGGCACACAGTGCTCAGTAGCTGAGAACTTAAAACTTTTTGTGTTTTCATGAGTGAACCCTGGTGTAACAGATCACTATAGTAAAGATATAGTTTCTTATTTTATTTAAAGCTTTCATCCGGAACTTACTGGTCATAGTATGATTTTAAAACTTGGTTATGATATAAAATGCATTATAATTAGTTTGCTTCTACAAACGAACTTCTTCACCTCCACAGTGACTAAAGATAGGCATTCTCGGAGCTGTGAAGGAGATGCTCAGTTACACTGCCTTTTTTTGTTTTGTTTTGTTTTATTAAACAAGCGAGCTAATGTGCTTGAAGTGTTTGAATGAAATCTTTGTGCTTTTTGTAGTCATTGCGTTGCAGTTGTAATACTGTTTCTTGTTTGATCTTTCTGCTTCCCAGTGCCTATCCTACTCTCACCCTCCAGATTATTCACAGAGATGAAAAGCTGACTAACACTTTATTTTGATGTAGATATTGATGAATGCAGAACGCAGAATGGTGGCTGTAGCCAGGTCTGTCTCAACAAGCTAGGCAGCTACCGTTGCTCATGCGACAGTGGTTACACTCTTAAAGACAGCAAAATATGTGAAGGTAAGTTTTGGTGGGACTCTCACTTTGGTTCAGGGGATGCTTGGTGACTTGTGTCTGCATTTTGGAGAGCTGGGTTGCCCTGAGCAGTCCTGGTCTGCTCCCTAGCCCAGCAGAAACTTGCTGGTAGCTCCTGTTGGCTGTGCTCCACTGGCATTGTGCTGGGTGCTCCAGCCAGCCTACACGCCTGGGCTTGTCAGCAGTGGACCATGATGCTGTCAGTATCCTAACACAGGCGTGATTCGCAGAGGATTTGTGGCTTAGATTGTGCTAAATTGGTTTAACCGATCAGTCCTCATATCCTGACATTGAGAGGAGGAAGTGCTGGCCAAATGCATTGTTATGATTCTTTCCAGTCTCACAGTGCTGTAGTATATGAGCCATTTGTTTTTCTTTTGTGTGTTTCTTATTTTATTTTTCTAAATTTGGATATGTGCAGCAGCTAATGAATTCAAACAGATACAGATGGCTAAATTCACTGCGACTGAATATTAATACATGTAGAAAGGCCCTAGTGAAGGTTGGCAGATATAGCAGCTGGGAACAGAAAGTGAGGATCTGAAATATCTGATTGAAACTTTTAAATGAATTTACATAACCAAAACTTAAGCAACTGAGATTTCAGAAGTGTTAAGAAAACTACATGCTGAGACAAAGACTCATTAATGATTACAGTGATTGTTAAAGTTATGTGTATCTCATAAAAAATGGGTAAGTTTGTGTATATACCTCTTACAGATGGATGTGACAACATATTTCTAAACAACTTGCATACCTGACCTGAACAGCCTATTAATGCTACCAGCAAAAATACCAGCAAAGAGCAAGATTTTATTTCCATGTCACTTCCACTCTAAAGATGACTGTATAGATTACATAGTATCCCTTCCTAATGGGAGTACCCACTTAGAAGAGCCAACTTCACTTCTGAATTGTCCTCTGGTGCCAGTTGGCAGGGACGGGTGAATGGTGAGGGTGCTCACATATACGTTTGTTTTCATACTTATGTATATTTGTTTCATACCCTGATACTGTCACTTAGGGCATTGTGAGCAGTAGTATAAAAGCATTCTTTAGCTTCAGTGTGTGACCCTGCAGTTGCTGAGGTTGCTGTCAGGTGTGGTTATTGCTAGTTCAGATTTATCATTGCATTTTGGCTTTCTTTCATGTTTATTCCTGTTATCATGTGCATGCACACAAAAGTTACCTTTTGTCTTAATTTGTAGACTAGGCTACATAGGGTACTAGATAGACCCTCAACCAGCTCACTCATACATGGGAAATCAACAAGTGTAATGTATAATTGTAGTTTTAACACATACTAGAAAGCAAACATAAATATTAAACTCTCAGTATACTGCAAATGTTTTGTCAACACTAGGATTTTACTGGGTATTAGTTAACATCTTAGGAAAACACTTGTGTGTTTTTATGGACCTCTAGTTCTTATCGTACCTTCATGGTGAAACCCCAGAACATCTCTCAGACATTACTTGTTCTCTGTGACAAAATGAGCTGCTTCAATTCCCCTTTGCCACTATGGATCAGCAGGTATAGATCTTAACTTACTAAATGAGTGAAAAATTATTGTTTGCCTGTCTGAGGACAGAGAACAGAAATCTGTGATGTGCCGCAGGCTGCATCTCCCTTCAGTGTTTTGGTAACATTCATGCTGCTGTTCCTCAGTTCCTGTCTGTTGGTTTTTTAACCTGCAGTTTCAGCCCCCCTGAGTGAAGGGAGTGTGGCTTTTTGGTTTTCTGGGAGTTGGTTTGTTTTACAGTTTTTCTCCTTGCTCACTTTGTATTGTTTTTTTCCAGTAGTGGTTAATGGCTTTAAGAAAGAAAGACCAACTGGTTTTGAAAGCCTGAAGTCACTTCTCATAGCTAGCTACCCCTAAAGGTATCTTAAAGATACTGGTTTTTCAGTTTCCAAAATTTCTTGACCCTAAGCCTACTCCAGTGTATGAATAGTGGTTGTACTCCTCTCAAACCATGTTGTTCAATTACTTGTTTTGCAGACATAGATGAATGCGCAGCATCAGCAGACATCTGTGGAGAAGCTCATTGTAAAAATTTAGTAAGCTCATATGAATGTCTTTGTGACGCAGGCTACAAGTATGATGACGTGAAAAAAACTTGTCAGGGTAAGCTCATGAAATAACATCACATTAGCATTTATTACATAATTTAAAGCTGTAAACCCCCCAAAATTTAGTTTCAGGCTTCAGTAAAAGCATTTTTCTTTTTTTTTTTTTTTTTTAATCTTGCTTACACACTGGACTTCTGTTCCATCTCTCTAGTTGGGAGTGAGTTTGCAGATTTCAATCACCTCTGAGTTCATCAAGCTTGCAGTGGTCTTTGAGTTCATAGAATTTGCAGTTGTCTTGGAGTTCACTGAGTTTACAGTCAACTTTGATGACTTGAATCAAGCTGTACAAGCCAGAGTACTGAGATTTCTTGAATTCATGACACGTGCAAGATCTGGTGAAAGCTCAGAAGCATCTGTGCGTATTACTGTCTCTGGACAAGAAAAGTTACAGAGCAGTAGCTGTTCTTTCAAAACCTGTCTTGTGGTATTACTCTGAACTATGAGCTTAATATGTGTTGGAACCATGCACAGTTCTACTGGCTACACTGCCTGCAAGCTTTCTCAATGGAGTAAGCTTTGAAAGTATTCCAAAACTAGCATTGTTCCCTGCCTTTTGTCTAAGTTAATATACTGGCTCAAATCACACGCCAACCAGCCCTGCTGAGCTCTAAGTCTTTACCTCTGCCTGAAGAGATCCCTGTGGACTGTCAGAATTTGTTTTTGTGCAATTGTTTGTGAAGCAGATAAAAAGAAGCCAAAGGAAAAAAAAAAAGAAAAAAAGAAAAAAATGAATGAGAAACTCAGCTTTTACTTGCAGTCCCTCAGTTGAAGGAGCAGGAGCCAGTCAGCACAGGCATAGCAGAAGGGGACTGAAGGGAGGAAGACTTGTCTAGAAGTTAAAGCCCAGGGCTCTGCTCCAGCAGCTTCCAGCCTTCCCACTGATTTGGGCAGCTGGAATCTGTCTGTGAAAATAGCTTTGTGCAGATGCTAATTCTCAGTCTTCTCTCCTGTAATGTTGTGGCATAGGGTAAGTACTGGCCACAGAGCACTTGGAGATGCTCAAGGGGAAGGTGCTACAAAACAGCACTAATAATGCTTTCCCCCCCCCCAGTGATTCACGTTTAAACAAACTCACTGTTTTCTCCTCTCTTCTTTGCTGGTTTTGTGTAGATATAGATGAATGTGAAGAAAAGCTCTGTGAACAGACCTGTGTCAACTCACCAGGGAGTTATACCTGTCATTGTGATGGCAGAGGGGGAGTGAAACTTTCCCAGGATATGAATACTTGTGAGGTATGTCAGTGTTCATTGCTGTAACTGCAGAACAGACCTTTTCTTTACATTGCAATTCAGAATAACTGATGAAGCTCTGGACTAAAGTCACTTGAGCCAAGTGAACAGCAGGAGGGAATCCTATTGGCAAAGTTGCATGAGCTGGGGACGGTAGGTCTCCTGAAAAGAAATTTTCTCCTGGAAGTCTCTCTTTTCCAGCTCCTCCTGTCCCAGATCCATGATAGCCCTGCCAGCCCTCTGTTTGACTATGAGTTATGTTGGCTGCACAAGCTTTTCTGAGTAAGGTCCACTAGGTTGGTGCAAAGGTCTAAGGGCCTGTGGCGTAAGTTATGGACCAGCACTTGCATTGGACACTTTCGTCCTCCAGGCATTTGAGGTGGATGGGCTTCAGTGGCACAGGCTGCCTCTGTGGTAACCTACCAACAGCATGTTCTTAGCACATCTTTTTTTGCAGGCACAGTGTGGTAGAAAACCTTATACTGTACCTTATGAATATGATTTCATCATGCAACAGGAAAGCATTCCTCCAGGGCAGATAGTGGGGGGAGAGGAAAGAAAAGAGGAAATGTTCTCTGTACAATTGTATTTTGAGAGAATAAACATTACAATGCACTATGTATTTTATTAATTAATGATAAACAACCTGCTCTCATTGCAAGTTTGTACAACATCTCTTAGTGTGAAAAAACCAAACAAATTCTATTTCTGAGAAATAGCACCATACGATAGTTTCAACATTGCAATTGGCACATTTGTAAAAGGCAGCAAGAAGTACAAGTGTCCAACAAATCTCTAAACACATTTATAATTATATTGAGTCCCTGGTTTTATTGTCCAGATGATTTTCTTCATCTTCATCCACCAATCGATACGAATGTCAATAGTTCTGTCTTTATATATATAGCATCTACATGAGAAAAGAAGTGGAGACATACTCTTTGATTCTCTTTCTGCTCTCTGAGGAGAATAAGCACTCGAAAAATGTGTTTTGATTATAGAACATCATACCATGTGTGCCTTTTGCTGTTGGAAGAAGTATTAAATCCTTGTACCTGGGGAGGATGTTCAGCGGCACTCCTGTTATCAGGCTGCGCTTCAAAAGGAAACAACTGACGAGGTGAGGACAATTTAGAATGATAGTCAAATGCTCTGACTTTGATGAATGCAAGAGTGTTGTTACAATTACAATTAGTCCTACATTCACCATTATTTGCTTGGATTATGGAGTCTTGTAAGGCAAAACATTATCCAAACCAGTAATTGAGAAAGCCAGCCTTGACCACAGAGCTGTTAGGATAATTACTGAAGTATAGTATTGTATTCTTTATTGATGCTATTTTAAAACCTGTCTTCACAGCTTAAGTCTTTCAGGAGTGCGTTAAAAACTAGCATGTTTTAACAGAGCTTTGTAGCTGCTAAAATTGATGCTATCTGTATGGAAAGTACTCTGTGGTTTTTGAATTCCGCATAACTAATTTATTTCTTGGCACCTGTGTGGTCAGACTTGTGGCTGAGTTCGACTTTAGAACCTTTGATCCTGAAGGTATCCTTTTCTTTGCTGGAGGCCATCAAGACAGCACATGGATAGTCTTGGCATTGCGCAAAGGACGGCTAGAGCTGCAGCTGAAATACAATGGAATAGGGCGTGTGACGAGCACTGGACCCCTTATCAACCATGGCATGTGGCAAACGGTGAGTTCAGACCATGGCTTAGGTCCAACTGCTTCTTGGCTTGTTCAAGATGGGTTCTGCCAAGTGCAGATAGACTTTGTGTATTCTTGAGATGTTTTTCCAACCTAACCATAGGGGAACCCTTTGCTTTAAGAACTGCACACCTGAATGTCCCCCAGGATACTAACTACTGAAATGCTTCCCCTTTTGGTTTGTAGGTGATGGTGGTGCACCAGCAATTAAGCTTTGAATGTAAGGAACGGGAGCTTAAACAGCTAGAGGGCATTGTGAAGTAGGCAGAATGTTATTTCCCAAACTGGAATTTATTAAGAGTTTTGACAGGGATTAACCTGTTGATGGAAGTTTTCACTGATTTGGGTTTACTTGTACTAATGATCAGAAGCAGCAAGGAACTCAGAATTTTTTTTTTATTTCTATGTTATTACTTGCTACACAATATAATAAAATTTTAGAAGGCCCTAAATTTTGGTGGGCCTGCAAGTAGCAGGATTTCTTCACAGAGGAAGAACAGTATGGGCACTACTGCAGACAGTATTTCCTCATTCCCATTTGCTCTGTGACTGCCCAGTGTCTGTGCTAGGAACAGGGAGACAGTCTGTGCCAGTTCCTGAGGCACTCCCTACCCTGGTGCATTAGGGCAGCAGTGACCATGACACCGAGCAGAGGTGTCCGAGTGAGTTTTTAACTAGATAGCCTGTGTAGCTCATCCAGTTGGGTGGCTGCCAGGACATGTTCCCACCAAGTGGACTTTACAGCCTGCCAATGCCCAAAAAAACCTGTTTGAGACTGGCTTGTGTGTCTCCATGGAATGCAGTTAGGAGGTGTAGGTGCCACTTTAAACAAGCAAGCTTCAGACAAATAAATTCACATCCTGTGAGATATGGCACAGAGCAACACACCAGGTGTAAACAGTGTTCTAGCAGTATAAAGCAGACTCTACTGGAATTCACAAGAGAAGAATAAAGGTTGATGAAAGGAGAAAAGTCTGTGAATAATCTTTTGAACTATTAAATTAACTAGATCTTCATTACTGAAGACTGAGGTCCAAAAGGAGTGTCCAGGTATAAATCTGCTCAGCCCTGTCCTCCTTTGTATTACAGCCACAGAGCAAGAGCTCAGCATGGCTGATAAAAGCAATTTTGGGGCAGCTACTCAAAATGCAAAGAGAAGGATGCTCAGGACCTGGCCTGCTAGCAGGGAGAGGGAAGAACAAGTCTAAACAGCATCACAAATAGATAATTGGTTCTATACAGTGGCTCACAGGTGGAGGCAGCATCTGGGTGTCCCAGGAAACAGCTGTATGGATGAAGAGTAAGTAGGTGGAGTATCTGTCACAGAGTGGGAAAAAGGTTATGAAATAGCAGAGGTGCACTCCTTTCTCCTTCTCTACAAGAAGATTGGGTTATCTTCTGCTACAGCCTCCTGTTGGTAGCAGGACCCAGGTCCCAAGGCAGCAGAATCTCTGCTGCTGTTCAGCAGCCTGGTGCATCATCTTTATGCTTTGCCTCCTTCTCTCCCTCTACAGAGATGGATGTTTTATTGTGCTTCTCTGTGCAGCCTGGTCATAATTAAAATTATAAAATTTTTTTAAAATTTCAGTGGTAATAGAATCTTCCTAGAAGTAGCTCTTTGGAGACATGGAGGGAAACTTGCAGAGGCTTTTTTGAGAGAAAAGCTATTGCCTATTAATGTTCTTATTACCATCTCAGAAATCACATCATCTGTTGTTCTTTTTGCAGAGGTCGGCATTCAAAAACTGTGTCTGGAAGGCCTTCTGCATTATATTCCACTGGTCCAACGAAAGTCATCTTGTCTGTCTTTCCAGCTTTTCTTTTCACATGCAGTTGCAATAAGAAGATTCTCATTAATAACTCGTTATTGCATTTACATTTTGCATAGAGCAACCTGCGTATGTCACATAATCATTCCATTCATGTTTTTCTATAGCTGTTTTGAAGTAGCTGGACTGTCTTCACTGTTAGGGTAACTGCAGGTTGCTTTCTAGAGTAAAGATTTACATATCAAGGTCAAATGTAATTTAAAAGGTACACAAAGAGGCTTGGGGACAGAAAATATTTTTCTGTCTTGGGGATTTCACTGGTGGGATCTGTCCTGTAGTTGAGGCTGCAGATATTAAGTTCTTTTCATACTGAATTGTTCAATTTGGAATTTTACTTTTTCAGATCTCTGTTGAAGAACTCGAAAGAAATTTAATTTTAAAGGTCAACAGGGATGCAGTTATGAAAATAGCTGTCTCAGGGGATCTGTTTACTCTATACAAAGGAGTGTATCAGCTGAATTTGACAGTAGGAGGCATTCCTTTCAAAACAAAGGACCTTATTCTACCCGTAAGTATAGCACGATCCCTCATGCTGCTTTGTATGCCAGAAGGGCTTGATTTCGTCTTTTCTGAGAGCAGTTCAACCTGCCCTGAAACAGGTGGAATTGTCACCTTCTGGATACAGCTTTCTCTCCATTAACTGTAGCAGGAGTGTAAGCTAGTAGCAAAGGTGAGACTCCTGATTTTTTGATTGGTAAGTTTGGGTGAGATGCATCCCGCCTGTACAGTTAGGGCACAGCAAAACTGGAGCACATGACAAAATTCACTGTGGTCATATGGACTTGGAGAGCATGAGTGCCCCTGGGGGAGGTGGTCAGTGGGCACTGTCTCTCTGTGAGGGTGCCACTGTGCCTACTAAGTCTGGAAACAATGTCAGGGCACTTTTTGTGTTGCAACCAAAGTTTGTGCTTCACGTGTATTGTATGACAATTTTGCTGCTTCTGTTTGCTCATTCAGTTTAGTGAGATCTGAGGAAAAACAGCTGCTTGTTTTTATTTATTTCCTCCTAATTAAAGTAGGTAGGGCATATGAATAAAAGTTAAGGCACTCCTTTGGGTGAGATTAGATGATTGCTACATTTCTGAAATAGCTGCTGCTCAGGCTGGTTTGAATGTCTGCCACACACAGAGTTAGCACCTTGAAACTCTAATTTGCATCTCTTTATTTCTAAATGAGGTGACAAGCTTGTGGCTTGTGACTGGGAGTGTAGTAGCTGAGGAAGGCTCCTGTGCTTCACAAGAAGTCATTCAGGGCCACTGCTTGTCTGAAACAGTAAGGTCAGGGTGTGGTCTGAATCTAGGATTGAGAGCCAAAAACTCCTCAGGTTTTTATCCTGGCTCAGACACTTAATTCTCTCTCTCCTTTGGTTAATTGGGAATAATGGTGCTGATTTAGAGGCTTTACATGCTGTCTCATGTTTTAATGCTGAGATTTCATAGAGGGTAACCTAACTAGAAGCTGGAAGGAACAAGGTGTGTGAAGAGTGGTGTGCCTGTCTTGTGGCTCGGGCATCCCTCCTTAAACCAGAACCTAAAAACATACCGTGATCAGGTCTAATGTCTGTCTTGTGTGTCATGCAGGCTGTTTGCAATGACACAGAGGATTGGGGGTTTTAACTTCCAGTTAACCTCCAGCATTCACAGTGCAGAATTATGGGAGTTACAGAGCTTTGGTGACAGAGCTTTAGAAATAAGTTGCACTGATTATCTGCATCATAGGGGAGATTACAGAATCAATACAACCAAATCAGCACCTGCACTAGCTAGTGTCCTTCTGTCCTGTGGAGACAAGCTGAGCTTAGGGGAGTTTCCTGGGGAATACTGAACACTCATTTGCTTGGGGTTGCAGGATTGAGATTGCTGCCAATTAGTTTGCATGTGCATAATGCGTCAAAATTATTTCTCCTATTTAGTATCATAATATAACTCAGTATTTCTCTGCACCCAGTTCTTCTTCACTGAACAGCAGTTTGAAGCATGAGATACTGCTTTATCTTCCTAGATAAACCCTCGGCTGGATGGTTGCATGCGGGCATGGAACTGGCTGAATGGGGAGGACACCTCTATCCAAGAGACCATAAAGATGAATGAAAAGATGCAGTGCTTTGCTGTAGCAGGTCGAGGGTCTTTCTATCCTGGCCGAGGTTTTGCTGTGTTTAATCTTACTTATGGTAAGTAGTTTGGTTTTGTTTTTAATTGCTGACCTCTCGTCCTGCTATTAACCATACTTGGTTTATAAACAGTGTAAAACTTACATGTATGCCAGATTCACTGTTCATTGATGCGCAAAAGACTGGCAGCTGTGAATGGAGAGGAATAACTAAACTTGTGATTCACAGCAAAGGAAGTCCTATGTATGATGGTTAGAACTGGTGTGAATATGCCCAGCATGGATTAGGTTTGCTCTGTGTAGCTCCAGTAATATATTTCACATCCAGACTGGTTCTAGCTCATCCTCAGCCCAGAGGGGCTGAGCAGCATCTCTGCCAGCAGCTTAGGTGCTTCCAGTCCTTACCACTGTTTCTGCTCAATAGGGAGAGCTGTAAACCATAGTGCTGTATCTTGAGTTTATGGTGGACAGAAAAATCAATATTGCCTGTAACAAAATGTCTGAGGGGTTTCACTTTTAATCATGGGATGGCATTAGTTACACTTGGGTCAAATGCGCTAGGCTGATACAAGCTGAATGAAATTGGTATAGGTAGAGTAATAACAAGTTTCAAACCCGACTTGTCCATACTAATGTAGCACTCAGAAAGGCACCTTTTTATTCTAGATTATTGTGTTTGTTTATATGTGTGATCAACTGTCAGTGTTTTTGAGCCCACGCAAATGCTAACCACCTGTTTCAGCTTGGGGTGTAAGTCCTCCTCTGCAGGAGCCATCTGTTCATCATTATGTGGATTTTTCTGCTGTGCCATTGTAAATTAGGGAATATCAGCAGTCTGTCATATTATTTAGCACATGGATTCAAAAACGACAAAGTAAAGACAAGCATCTGAAGTGCAGATGACAACACTCAGCAGAGATAAGGCCTCAGTACCCGCATTCTTTTTTTCTTCAAACAATAATTCCCTATTTTGTTGTTTTTTTTTTTCCTTCATAATGGTAAGCTTTATAAAGAATGAATTATTGTATTTCAAGGTGTGGTGAACCAGCAAAGATAATACTCCTATGAAGGGAGGTTGCGGGAGCAAGACTGAGATCTTTCTTTGTAGCCAGCACTACCTTTTAAATTACAAGGGCACTGAGGCAGTAAGAAGATACCAGAAAGTTTAATTCACGATTCAACAAGTGAAATAAAACATCCCACACTTCTGGAGGCTGGTGATCAGGAAGTGTTTGGTTAGGTAATGAGTGTAGTATGCTTACATAATTTTTCAGTTTAATACAGACTTTCATAGAGATGTTTCCCATATGTCAGATTTGGACTTAGATTCCTCAGTGATCTTTGGGCAGTCAAGAATGATTAAAAATTGGGTGCCCTACCTTGCAGCAGTTCTTTGAGTGTGTTGCATTGACGGCCATGGGAATTCGAGTATTTCTTTGGGACAAAAAAGCTCAGCATTATCCTTTGACATTCTGAAAAGCAGTAGAAGGCAAAAGGTAACAAGAGGAAACTGATGCAATTTTCTTCTCTGATTTTATGTCAAGGTGCTTTGGAATGATTTTTTTTTTTTTTTAACAAAAGAAATGTAGCAATCCCTCCATAGGCTCACCTGCCTGTGCTCTTCTCTAGGGAGAAGTTGCACAGCCTACCCATTTTACCTGTTAGTCCTGTGTGTGTCCTGCGCATTTTTTTTTCTGCAGTGCAACCTTCTTCTGGAAATGAAACCAAGAAGAACTGGGAAATAGAAGTAAATGCTGTAATTCAACCAGCAACAGATACTGGTGTGCTGTTTGCTCTAGTTACGGAAGAAGCATCTGTCCCTTTATCACTGTCTCTGATTGACTATCATTCCACAAAGAAACTGAAACAACAGGTACAGACATAAGCATTTTTCTAGAGAAGGTTCCTTGCTGTTTTCTAGGAACTGAAAATCATTTTCAAAAACAGTTATCAGGTTTGCTGCCTGCCTGTTTATTTGCCCCACCAGTTCAGAACATGGTCTGAGACAGCAGTGCTTGGCTGACACCGAAGTTCTGCCTCTTATGGGTATGTGTCAGACACTATTAGGGGGCTCTTTGCAAATGTGCTCTATGTAAAAGATGGAACTGCTCTCTTCAATGCAGGCATATTTTGCTATTTTTTTCTGGCACAGAAGCTGTTTAGTGCCATAAACCAGAGATTTCCATTCTCTAGAGCTCATCAGTAACAGTCCCAAAGTAGCCAAGGCTTTAGGTGTCGCTCGGGGTGCTGTGAAAGGCCAGTTATGATGGACTGCTGAAGCTACTATTTAATAGTATTCATAATAAAGGGGCTAGATTCTGGCATTTCACAAGGGTAAACCAGGAATTATTTCACTAAAACCCATGAGCCAATTTTTCATTTATAGTCAGCCGACAGCTCCAGTCGGCTTGGTTCCAGTGCAATGTAATAACCACTGCAAGACCCCCTAAGAATTCTCTCTGAGAAGACACTGGTTTCAACCAATAATTAATCCACTGGTTCATTGGTTTTCATCTACACAAATGAGTTCATAACACAATCAGCAAGAGTAATAAGCCTAATTTTCTGGTGGCTCTGCAAAATATTTGTAATAAAGGCCACAGTGGGGTCATCCTGGTACTGGATAAGTGTGGCTAGTATATTTCTGCTCACTGCCTCTTTTTCTTTCTTTCTCCTGCTGTTCAGTTTATCACTGTGGCCTTGGAGAACATAGTTGTATCCCGACTGGCAATAAATCTCTGTGATAAGAAGGAACACTCTGTGGACATCCTCCTCAAGAAAGATCACTTATCCCTGAAGGTAGATGGGATAGCAGGAGAGAGTGAACTAAGCATCTCTGAGTTAGAGGACAGTCTGTCTGTCTTGGAGAGCTCTTTGCAATCACCGGTGAAGACATATGTGGGAGGATTGCCAGGTGAGCCTCCAGTTTTGTACCATTGACCACAGGCTCCCAACTCGCCTTCCTGAGCTGGGCGCCAGGAAAACCGTTTCTGTTTGTGCAAGTTGTGAGCCTCCTTCTCTGTTTCTTGAGCAGGCTTTGTCTGCAGTGCAGGCACATGACCATAACAGATCTGGGGTTGGACTTTTCTTGAAGGATTGTGTCCTTCTGAGGACAGCTGGAGGCAAAAATAGAAAGAGGAAGTTTTGCTTTTTCAGCGGTAGGAATGATTTGTCTGAAGGATACCTGTAAGCAGGATGATTATCTTAAACCTGATAAAATCCATAGGAGCTGGACCACAGGCCCCTGCAGTGCTTCATTAATATAATAAACCTGTGAGAGCATTGCTTGAGAGGAGTACTAGGGCCTTGCAGTGTTTTGACTGAAGCTTGGGAAGCCCAGCGTGGTGATTCTCCCTGGCTGATGCTCTCTTTGAACTGATCACAGCACTCCACAGTTAACAGATTGCCTCCCAGCAAAGGGTATGTAGGGCACAACCAAGGGCATACCACCATTTATAGTTTCTTTGGCTTTTCAGCAACAACAGGGCTTCTTCTGAGAGGTCAATTTGCTCCTCTGTTCTGAACCTGAAAGATCAAACTTTTATCTGAATTGTGAATTTTGGCCAAGTTTGGGAGTTTATTTCTTGTTCTGGCTGAACTGGTTTATCAGTCCCTTCTGCTGAGGAATGCAATTCAGGAAACACTTATGTCTCTGATGCACATGATGCCAGCATCTAAGCAAAATCTTGCCCTTACTTGCCCAAGCAAGGGAGAGGCAGCAACATTGGCCTCTTAGTAGGTGCTGAAGCAGTCAGGCTGGAACAGGGTGGCTGAGGTGCCATGTGTACTAGGACACATAGCGTGGCTTTTCTCACCATGAACAAGAGTTTAAAGAGTGTTTATGCTGATGATGTAAATGGCTCCTAGTCACACCTAAAGGGAGGAGACCACATACTCTGGGACATTCACACACTGGTAGAAACAAGCTGAAGCCCCAACTGTGGCATTTTCCAGTGTCAGATTGAATTCTCCAAGCTGACTATTGCATAGGCAAGATAGGACACCTGCTTTCTTTTAAGTAGCTCTCAGATGCACAGCAGAGGGTTTTATAGCTCAGAAAACAATCCCATTCTGTCCCTATCCCAAGTTCTCTATGGTTTGGTTAGACTAACTGTGCTGGGTGAAGCACAGTTTTAATTATCCAGAACTAAGTGTGAGATACCATAGCTATGGCTGTTTAGACCCAGGTGGCATCTGGAGGTTTAGCTACTTTTCCCCCTTTGATCTGTTTTGCTCAGTAATGGGAATTTCTGCCAGTGATCTGCTTTTGCCATTGAGAGGAACGCAGCACTTGCATCAAGAAACCTTGTCATTTGCCAAACAAATAAACATTTCAGCACTTTAGTTGGATTAATCATTCTGGGTTAAATAACTATACCGAATGGTCAGATCTAAGTGAGTTTGGCTCCTTCAGATTTTGAAACCATTACGTAGTTTTTGGTTTTCCTGGCTTCCATACCCAGTGGAAAAGAACAAAGTATAGTGGTCACATTTAATGTCTTTATTCCATTTGCCACAAATAAAGAAAGAATTCTGGGGTCCAAGTATGTAATATGTCCCATCCTCAGTGCAGCTAATGTTGCAAATGTGGAAGAAATAGTATGGAGAATTTCAAGAGATAAGAGGGAACATGTAAGCATTTATTACATTTTCTGTGGTCTTTTCAGTTCTGGTAAATCCTGAATTATATAATTTATGTGATGCATAGGTGTTTTTTCAGGAAATGTGCATTCCACCAGGTGAAGGAGCCTTTAAACTAATCTTCCGAATCTTTACAGGACCACATTTCAGACAGATCTATTTCTAATCATAACAGAAAATTAAATATTTCACCTGATTTACAACTGTAACACAAAGAAAAAAATTTGGTTTTGATAGTATCTTACAGATTCATCTGAAAGCCCACCCTGTCTTTCAGTCAGCCCTGTGGCACATGTAACAGCAGTCTGCGTGATTCCTTAGATGAGTCTTCAAGGTGTTAAGCCACAACTTCAACTTCTTCTGCATCAAAATTTAGTTTACATTAATGTGAGGTGTTACGAAGATGCCCCCTTCTTTTAAGCAGACTTCAAAGATAAAATTTGGGAAATGGGGAGGAATAGGAGATAGGTAACTTCTTAAGTTCTTAAGTTAACTTCTTAAGTTCTTAAACTGTAGTTTAAGCAACTACTGAGCAAGGTATTTCTCACCCAGGAAGCTGAAAAATTTCTAGTATCTCTTTGTGGCTTACAGATTCCCCACAAATCTTTCTGTCACTCAGTCCTAGACACACTTTGGGCTGTGTCTGATCACATTAGCCTCAAATATGGCCCTGCATGTCTCCAAGCAGAACCTTTTAAATTTCATATAATCTTTGGTCAACAGGACAAGCTATTGTTCTAGTTGTCCTTGCTTCGGTGTAAAGATAAGGGGTTCATTTAGCTACCTGCATCACTGTGACGTTAAATAATCTCTGAGACGTTTAGTATTTTCCACTGCACAACCAGTTTGATTGGGTCAGCTTTGAGTTGTAAATAAACTACTGACCTTTGGGGAAGGATAGAGGACACAGCTCACGTAAATTTTCATGTCGTTATATTACTGTGTGGGGTTTTTTGTTTATTTAAGGTCAGTGTGTATATGATGTTAGAGAAGTTACTAGTAAGATTGACTAATTTCTCTAGTGTGTTGGACTGTACATGGTGTCTTTTTCCTTGCTATCTGTTTTCTGCCTCTGATAAACTGAGTAAAAGAATGTCACCAGTGAATCTCCATAGAAAAAATTAGTCTCATTAGTCTGACCAACTCAATAGATGCATTCCAACACCTTTCTGGTGAAGGCCAGCAACCTCCTTGTGCAGATACCTAGCGTAATCATGGTAAAGATGAGTCCAGCAAGCGATGGAGGCTGCATATAGGAGGTGCTTTCCTGTCATAAAGTTCTTTCTATAATCTTTTGGCAGCTATTTTGAAGAGAGGGAGCATTAGAGGAAGGTGTAATAGCTCCACTAAAGACAAAGTAGAGGGTTCAGAGATGGAGAGGGGGGAAGATATCGACATGGAAAGCAGTGTGAACACAGTTGTGCAAGTGGAGTGAAGCCTTGCTGCTGTGCAGCACATGGTTTTATCAAGACTGGAGGACTTGCAAAGACACAGAGCAGCTGAGGAAGGGTTCATTCTGGGAGAAGGGCTTTTGTGCACCAGAACAGATGGTGTTTTCCCCATGTCTGGGATTGTGCTCTTGCCTTCTGGTGAGAAAGGCAGGGGGGAGGTAGAAATCCTGGGGTGGAGAAGAGGTGCGCTTAAATTCATTGAAGTAGTAGTCATCTGAGCGTAGGAAGGGCAGGTATTTATTTAAAACCAGCCATGAGAGATCTTTGTCCTCTTTCCCACAGACGTTCCTGTCACTTCTACTCCGGTCACCGCGTTCTACCATGGCTGCATGACTGTCAAGCTGAGCAACAAGGCACTGGACTTAGATGAGGCTCTCTACAAGCACAGTGACATCACCTCACATTCCTGTCCTCCAGTTGAGGCAGGTCTGTAGGTACCACTACAGTGCGAAAGTTTTATACTCAGAAACTTTCAATGCTTTTCTTTTTTTTAAAGATATAAATTATTCAGATCTACCGCACTGCGTGTATAGTTTCTCTTAAACACTGAAGTTATGTAGGAGCTACTGATCCTTATGTCAGATTGATTATTGAAATACTCTTTGCTTTGAGGTTTAAAGGTTGTAATATATTTGTAAATAGTTCAGAAGACTAATATTAAATAAGTCAGAAGTACAGAATATACCAAAAGCGAATGTTGTCTTTAGACCGTAAGAGACAGTTTTATCTGTAATGTGCAAAACATGGTAATATATGAGTGTGGACTGGAAGAAAAATAATAATTCTGTATTTTTTTTTTATTACCAAACACTGCTTTCTGATTTGCAAAATACGAGAGAATAAAATATTTACATACAAGTTTTTAATTTACCTGTACTGAGATTTTTCTGTATTCTGGTATTTGGAGATAATGACTCAGATTATGCCTGATGTGGAGATTACAGTAGTGGGGGAGTGCTGTTTGGTTGGTTTAGTTTTTTGTTTGGAGGTGGGGGGGGTTTATGTGCTTACATCTGTATTATATATCTGCTCAGCTGGAGAGCAAATGGTTGTTACTATTCTTATTGCTAGAATTTCTCTTCTCTTTCTTTCTCTGAAAGAAGACTCAGTCGTGACCTTTAGAAAACCTCTTGGTCAACAGAAAACAAAGTTGGGTCAGCAGGAAACATTTAGAAGAAACAACTCAATAAGTTGAAAGCCGCATGGCTTTTTTGTTGATAGCCATTGAAGCAAATGATGAGGTGTCAAGAATTGGGGAATATTATCTGCTGATGACATATTTTTGCTGCTGAACTTTTAGGTTGGCTCACTCAGTGTGATCCTAGTGGGAGCAGAGAAGCTTGAGCTGTGAGTTAGCCAGGCTGAACTACAGTGAAGTTGGAATATACCTGAGGGTTTACTCAGGAGAGGCTGTAGAGCCATAAAGTGCATTCAGCTTTTAAGTTGGGCTGGGCTTTGCCTAGCCTGCTCTGAGCCACTTAAATCTTGCTTTATTTGGTCCTTGTCTTGCACCAAATTAATAAACTGAGCAATACAGGTGTATGCTGTGGTGCAAAATCCAAATACTGGATGGCTAATATTACACCATGCTTCAGAGGGCTAATGTGGAAAAAGTCTAATTCTACAAGGTCTTTTATAAATTATTCCTGGTCATTCATCTCATGTTTTTCCTAAGCAAATATGGAGATGACACATTAGTCTAATAATCCACATGTGTGGCAACATCTGTGACCGAGCTGTGAAGATGTAACTGTCCCAGAGGAAAAGATGAAAGAGTGGGAAGACTATCCCAAGCATATTTTCTGGCAAGGATCCCTGCTTTATTCAGCAGAGAAGAGGAAGGTATTCTATTAGCTATTAGACAGCATGGCATCATAGCTCCATGTCATGACCAAATCAGTCAGGAGTAATGCAGTAGGGCAGAAAAGAACTTTATCACTTTCAACCAACCTACTCATTTGTACTTGGAGAAGGACCTGTCAAAAGACTCTTAACACTCAGGTCTGACCAGACACAGGTTTAAAAGGGAGGTTTCTCACTGGACAATAATAACTTATTGGCAGAGTGCACGTGGATAGAAAACCCCAGAAGCAGTTCTAATTTTTGCTTTTTTTTGATTGAGGAAGGGAAACCATGTTATTCCTGAGAGTGCTTTATGTTAGAGCTGATGATTCTGAATCAATTTGTGATTTGATGGAGCACCCAAGAAAGATTAAATTAGTATCTTCAGTAAGAGCTGGAAATCCTGAAGATACTCTGGTTAATAGCATGTCCACGCTGCAGTGTTTTTTATGATTATTTTAGTCCTTTACCAAAATACATCTCTGCGCTAGTTTTGGTTAATATTCTTCATAGTGGGGAATATAGGGCTATAGTTTGTGTTTGTTCTGGAAACAGTGTTGATAACTCAGGGTTGTTTTAGCTATTACTGAGCAGGGCTTGCACAGCATCAAGCCCTTTTCTGCCTCTCACCCCACCCCACCAGCAAGGGGGCCAGGGGTGCACAAGAGTTGTGAGGGGAGACAGCCAGGACAGCTGATCCCAACTGACCAGAGGGATATCCTACACCGTATGGCCTCATGCTCAGCATATAAAGCTGGGGGAAGAAGAAGGAAGGGGAGACATTTGGTGTGATAGTGTTTGTCTTCCCAAATCACCATTACATGTGACATTGCCTGGCTTTCCTGCAGATGGCTGAACACCTGCTCATGGGAAGTGGTGGATGAATTCCTTTTTCTGCTTTCCTGGCATGTGTGGCTTTTGCTTCACCCATTAAACTTTATCTCAACTCGTGAGTTTTTTAAATTTATTTAAAAAATAATAAATTCCGATTCTCTCCCCCATCCCAGGGGGAGAGTGAGCAAGTGGCTGTGTGGAGCTGAACTGCTGGCTGGGGTCAAACCACAATTTCTCATCTCTTTAACTTGGATTAATCTCTACTGAAAAAAGTAGACTTGGAAGGCACCTATTTTTAAACCAAGAAGATGAAACAAACTCTGTTTTACTTTGTTCTTTTCAAAGGAAACATGTTAGAAAAATAATCTTATGCCTAGTATTTTTGTATAATTTCTGTGGTAGTTCCCAAAAAACTACCATGTGGCATAAATGAATCACAAACATGTTTTACTTTTGTGTTAATGTAAGTGGCATTATTTATGAGGCCAGAATTATTTTGGGTCCTGGAAATGTGAGTTCTGTGGTACATTATGGTACTCTACAGTTTCATACTAAATGCTATGTGAACAAGACTATTTCATTTTCTAATTCAGAGCAAAAATTGCTCCAGACTTTGCGTATGTGTGTATGTATGTGAAGACATTTTGCATAGACCACAATGCACCCTGACTCAAAATGTGGTTTAGAAAAGAAATCCAGAATTTCTATCTGGAGAATAACAGAAGGGGGGGGGGTCTTTTGCGTAAAGGTGAATTTTTTAAATACCCTCCATCAGTACCACACTGGAGGAAGAGGTCTGGAGGAGGAGGCAGCTGCAATAAGCATTCCTTCATTCCTTCTCAGTCATTGCTTCAACGCAAGAGAAACATTAATTTCATTTTTTTTTCAGTTACTAGTTTAGGTGCTCAACTCAAAGGGAGCATGTCTGTTCTGGGATTTGAGTCCTCAGAATGAACCCAGGTGATTCCCCTGGTAGTATTCATAGCAAGCAAAAAGTAAATGTGTGGTTCCACTTACTTCATGATCATGGTGACTGTGCTCTTCATAGCATGTATTTGCACAAGAACTAAGCATTTTGGATGCATTAAATTAATGTTTAAAACAAAAATAATGGTCTCTTCTCTGACTTCTGTTTCAGCCAGGTTCATATAACTCAACAGTACACATAAGGCACCTCGTCACTGATGTTAACATCACTGGCCTAAAACTTTGCACCTTAGAAAAACCTTAACAAAAGGTGGCTTTTATGATCCGTATAAATTAATCTCTGATCTTACGTGTATTAGTACTGAATCTGCTTCTGCTTTTTATACACAAATGTACGTGAATTAATAGAAATTTCTTGAAAGTTGGAAAATGTGTAAAAGGATGATCATTCTTCATTCTATTTTGAGCAGGTCTGATGGTGTCACTTCCTTTGAAAGGAAACTGTCAAGTAAGCTGATTTGGTTTATATGGTTTTTTTCAATATCTTCATAATTCAGAGCAGCTGCTTAAAACGTTAATGAGAAATACCTTCCTTTCCCTACTTTGCTCTTTGGCCTTTCAGGAAATTTTTGTAGCTTCATTGATGTCTAGACTGTAAGATCTATGGAGCAAGCAGCACCAACATCCTTCCTGCAGGAGCAAAATGCAGTAAAGGGGTGCAGCAGTCAGATGGGTTTTCATGCTGGTGTAACCACTGCTGTCCCAAAATGTGGCAGCCAAGTGCCAAGATGAATCCCAGCCAATGTGATGCACAGTGAGGCAGAAGGGTGCACACATCAGGGACATGTTTTTTTTCCTGTCAGTGGCACTGCCAGAGGTATTGTTGCTTAGCCTTGTCTCTATGCAATAGGAGAAAATAAAAAAAAAAGGAATTATGACCCTTCATTCATTCTGTCTCAGTCATTGTAAAATGCCTGCATCAGGTCTTGATCAGTTTAAAAATAAATAACTGGCATTTAAAATAGAATGGTTTTGGTTGTGGTCCTCTTTTGACTAGAAAGGAAATAATTTGAACACTAAAATACAGCATAAAATACACGTCTGGAAATTTCATCTTTAGCACACCGACATGACATTTTACTATGCAGACTAGACTGGCACAAACTACAGATGTAACAGTCCAATAAAATTAGCCTTTCTGTCTGAAACTTGAAAAAGGAAACTGTTTGGTAGGGTACTTCTTCCTCTGTGCTGTTTTGTTTTCCTGTCCTTACAAATACCGACAGCCTTAGGTACAGTATAAATAGACACTGTGAATTTTATTGTAAAATAATTGTCACACTTTATTGGTACAACACTTTCACCAAAAAGAGTTATTAAATCAGTACTACAAGCAAACAAACACCTGGCCTCTTACTGAAAATTATTGACTCAGAGAGCTTCTGACTACGCACTCAGACAGCACAGGCTTAAACCCTTAAACCCCTCTGTATTGGTTTATGAAAGCAGAACACATATCCAGAGTGTTTTCTTCATTTCTCCCATTGAAGAAAATCTATTCTGCAGTGCACCGAGAAGGAAACATCTCATCCTTACTGCAGCCAGAAAGCACTACTACACCTGACTGCAGGCAAACTAGGTGGTGACTGGATGCCCCAGTGGTGATGTGCCTGCCCTTACGTTTCCAGGGTTCTGCCCTGCTCACAGTGAGATGCAGGTAAAAGAGGAGTGGCTGTAACACTCTGCGGTGGGTTCCTTTGGGAAGTCTAGTGCCTGCACAGCAGTTTCCAGAGATTTCTTAGAAACAAAATAAAAGCCTACCAGCTACCTAAAATTAATTCTTTGTTCTACGGTGCATATGGTGGAGGCTTTTCTCCAGGCAGGCAGTAAGTCGGTGTATACAGGGCTGGAGCGTTTGGGGGAAGACCATAGCTGGAGCTGGACTGAGATGGAGGCTGAGTTTCTTCTGATAAAGAAATGTCAGTAGATGATGTTCCTGGAAAATTGTTGGCAGGCTGTATGTAGACAAAAGAAAAGACCTTATTCAGTAAAGGATTGCAACCCCATTGCAGTTCTGGGTTTTTTTGCCATGTTAGTGTTAGATAATGAGCTTCATGATTAAATTTCTCCTGCATTGCAGCTTAACATTAACTTTAGTTCTAAAGCACCTGCTTAAGTCTAGCAATGATAGCGTTTACTGAAACAAGACAGATTCCTTCTGTAACCTAAGTCAGTTTTAATAGACATTGTGCAGACAGCTGGG